TTGGCATCCAAATCTTTCCCTGAATCCCCCCCCCCCCCTTGAAGTGATTCCTTGTGGGTGACTGGGAGGAGGGCAGGGTCCCTGCAGAAGGGCCCTGAGTGCTGCACTGAGGAATGCAGTGAGAGTGCTGGAAATGAGCCTCATTGCTCAGCGTGCAGCCACGGAAAGCCCGTGTGCTACACTGGGACAGGGAGCTCCAGGCAGGAGAGGGAGAGGCAGGGGACCCACCAACTGCAGGGGATGGGAGGTGTTATCAAATTCAGGATGTGCTCTCTCCCAAACTTTTTTGTTTGTCTGATGGCCTTGGGCTTTTTCTACTGTAGCTTTCAAATCTCTGGCAAACAGCTTGCTGCAGCTCCACATTTCAATCCTTTGGGGGTTAAATAAAATGAAGGTAGCTGTGAACTCTGTTCTCCTTCAAACTAATGGACTGTTTTTTCCTTTCCTTTTTCTGCCTCTCTCCCCCTGCCTCCACCCCACCCCTCCCAAATAGCCCCCTTTGTCCACTTTTATGAATTGAAACATGCACACACACTTGCACACGCAGGGAATCCTGCCCATTAATTAAAGGACTTGTCAGCCCCAATCCTGGATTCTTACAGTGCAGGAAATGTCTCCCCTTTTAAGTGCAAAACCATAACATTACCATTTCCCCAAGTGCTCTCTGTTTTAGGCTGCTTTCCTAATTAGAGGGATGATAACAGCCCTGCTGATTGGCATTATAAAAGCACTAGTTTGGCTTCATCTGTCCCAGGTGTGCTGTGTAATTTTTTTCTTCTCACCGTTTCAGAGCAGTACCTCTCTCCTTCATTGTTCCTTAAAGTTTTCATCTGAGGAATTAATACAGATAAAAAGACATTAGAAAAGAACCTCCACTGCCAAAGCTCATCAGTGGAACCTTTTATCAAAAGTACAAACTATACAAGTTAGTTTTTTTTTTTCACCCTTTTGTTTCTGAGGGTTAAAAAAAAAAAAAAGAGAGAGAGCGGGAGGAAGAAAAGAGAAAAGGAGAGAAGGGGGGAAAAAAAAATCCAGAGCTCTGTCAATGGACTGAATGCACCATTAAAACTGGCGTCACTACAAAGGTTAGAGCAGATCTAACTGTCAATACAGTGAGTGGAGTGGAGTCCGGTAAGGGGGGGAGCTTTGGTGAGAAAGAGATACTTTGATATTTTGGAATGTTAGAAGGGTGAATGTGAAAAATTGGAGGTTGGGGATCTAATTACCCAACCATAATTGGGGGCTAGGGAATAAGTTGCAGTCCTCTCAACTCACCGCAGATCAATTATGTTAAGAGAACATCTGTAAGTAGAACTTAATGAGGTCCATTAGAGCAACATGTACAGCCTCCTCTAACAGTACTTGTCAGCTTCTTGGATGAGCTGAAGGAAGCTGCTAACTAGGGACCTGGTGAGGTGTTTAAATACTGGAGGAGCAGAACTGGCCCACTCAGGTTTTCTTTTCAGCTGGGGAAGAAAGTGAGGAGGAAGAAGAGACAGGGAGGAAGGAAAAAAAAAAGGGGAAAGCAAAGCCAGGGGCTCCTTTCATCCATGCTGGTGCAATTAAACCAGGGGAAGAAGTGGGGAGTAGTACAAGCTCCATTTTTTTTTCCCATTGAACTGAGTTTTTGTTGTTATTTTTAATTGGACTTTGCAGAAATCAAACTGTTGGGTTTGTTTGCATTCTGTATATTTTTGTTGCACAATAAAGACTGTATCTCACCTGCATCTTTTGGACTATACAGAAATATCTGACTATTGAACGGGGAGAAAAAGCTCAAACTGTGAAGTCTCTTCTTGTTCTTTTCTTTTTCTCTTTTTTTTTTCCCTCCCCCCCCCCAAAAGAGTGAGCTGAAAACTTTAGGGGGGAAAGAAAAAGAAAAAAAACCTTTTGAATCTTTTTTTTTTTTTTTTCCTGTGGAGGGTTTATTTTTCTAAAAGGTAAGTTATTCTTTTTTTTTTTTTCTCACTCTTCTGTAGAGATACTGGGCTGAGATTATTGCAGAAAACCTTTTAAAAAATTAAGTAAATTTTATCAAATGGCAAGTATTATGAGCTGCTGAAACACAGGCTCAAGCAAAGGGTAATCGGACCAAAAACCCCTAGGTCTTTACAGCAATCCTTTAGCAAAGATTTTTCTAGGGATCTGTAATTAAACTGGATAGTTTACACTGGAAATGAAGAAATTGCTTGGCTGGCTGGAACCAACCTTTAGCTTGGCTGAGTAAACAAAAGCACAATTTCTTTTCTTTTCACTTTTTGTGTGCGTGTGTATGGGGAGGGGGTGGGCAGGGGAAAACAGGGGACTTGGTGAGGGTTAATGGTGTTTTTCGCGCAAGTGTCAGGAGAAGATGATTAAATTCCACCTCTTGTTCACCAGATCACTTTTGTGTGCACTTGTATATTTCATTGTCGGCAACCGCTGATGATCACATCTGTGCAGTACATTAAGTGGCAAGCCTCTTCATCTGCACGATTTTTTTCTGATGATTTTTTTTTCTGTGAATAATTCATATGATTATGAAGAGAAAAACTGCTATTTTCTATCTCTCTTTCTCTCTTCTGTAGCACAGATTAAAAAAAAAATCTTGCTGTAAATTGCATGATTGGGGAGATAGCCTGCTTTCAAATAATTTAATTCATGACAAAACCTAATTACTGTCAGGTAATACCCTGTCAGCTTTAATGCATTTCATCAGTCATAATGAAAAGAAGAGCATTTTATGACCCATCTAATTATCATTACATTTTAGGGGGAAATGAATGGCATGGAGCTGAATGTTAACTATTCCATTTTATTCCTTTACACATGTGGTTTGGCATATTATTCAGTAAGTTGTTTTTTTGTAGGTTTTTTTTGTTGGGTGGTTTTTTTTTTAAAGAATCCTTGATTGGCGGGGGGGAGTGTAAAGAGGGGTGGAAGATGCAATTAGATCTGGGTGTTTGTTCCTTTCTCTTCCCCGCACATGCACACACATACACACACACAAAGTGACAAAGTGGTTAATGTCTTTGCAGGTTGGTGTTGACATCGGGTATCTTATTGCCACAGTCCAAATAGAGTACTAATTACTGCGAATGATGTCACTGTAGGCAGAGGAATAATCCCATCATTTAATTAGTTGAATGATTTAAACAAAGATTTGCATAGATGCACTAATCAGTTGCCATGAATTACAGAGCAGCAGTTGCCAGCGAGGGGTAACAGATCATACAGTTGGAGGGAAAAAAAATCTCATCTCCTTGAACATAATTAATTTAATTGTCCTCATTAGCTGTACCATTTGTTTTGATTTTATTTCTCCCTTTCCCCACACATAACTTCTCCCTCCCTCTTTTCTTCTCCTTCTCCAAGTGCATTGGTGGAGAGAGGCACACACACACTCACACTGCTGTATTTCCAGAGTGGCTGTGGCAGAGGTAGTCTATAAACAGAGGGAAGTCAGGCTCTCCTGAGCCTATGGGTGCGTGCAGGAGAGGAGCAGGTTTCTGTTAAGTTTGGCTTTTCTCTGTGTGCAGATCAAATCAGCAGAAAGGGGCTCTGTTAGTCTGCTGCCTCTGGTTGTGCTTTTCGGGTTCTTGCTCAGGTTGGTCGTGGCTGAGTTTTGTTGCTACTTAGAGGGAGAGGGGGCAAGAGATTCAGGAATTGTTCATTGCACAGTATGCTTGTTACAGGAACCTTTATATATGTATATTTATATGTATTAAAAAAAAAAAAGAGGGGAGCTTACAATGTGGGGGGGAGGTGGGGGAACCTGTCCTAAACATATACATTTCTGAGGTTGCTTTGATTTTTATTAGAGCTGCTGGATTATACGAGGGAGGGGTGTAGATGGCAGGGCACTTCAATGCTTTTAAATCGTTCTTGGGTCTTGAAAGACTTCTATAATATGAGTGTCATTCAAATTTAGGGTATATTGTAAGCTGACATCTTTCAAAGCTTTGTGGAAATCTAGCGTGGTGCTTCTAATAGCAGACAACAGATATTCACTTTGAAGTCTGAAAACTGTATTCACAAATTCTTAATCTGGTCTTTCTCCAACTGCAGATGGCTCTTAGAGGAAGATGCTTTGGATTTTTTTAACTTTATTTACAGTAGGCTAGGCTCAACATCTTTATTATAAAACACGAAGAAACAGTCATCTGTGAGCGTGACTGGGTATCAAAGTGTGCTCTACCTCTCGTGTGTTTGCATGTCTGTCTGTCTGTCTTGTGGTCAGGGGTGCTCAGCACCTCTAACAGCCCACATATCTATTATCTTCCCCCCCTCCAACACTAGGTAGAGAGGATAAGGATCTGCTTTCAGGTCCTGGGATGAGGATGCTGTAGGGGGGGATGGCTTGGCTTCCTTCAGCATTCAGCTTCAAAAGTGCAGTCGGGGGTGGGTGGCATGTGGCAGGTGAGGCCCGGGGGTGGCACGGCCGGGGACCGTGCGTGGAGCAGGAAACTTTCACAGCGGAGTTTCCACCGAGCAGCTCAGACCTAGCACGAGAGAGAGGCAGAGTTTTCACCTTCAGGGATTTTTCTCATTACTCATTAATAGAGAGATATGTATCTTGCCTTTTTTTTTCTTTTTTTTTTTTTTCTCTTTTTTGCGTGGGCAACTTCTGGTTTTGTTCGAGCCAAGTATTTTGGGAGGAGTGATGGTGGGTGGGGGGCTCCCCTGGCTGCCCGGGTGTGCTCCTGGAGCACTCTCTGGGAAGGTGATCCCGAGCCGCTTCGGCAGAGGTCACTTGTGTGTGTGCGTGTGTCCCTGGTGTTTGTGTCTAGCATATGCATGTGGTTTTGCTGACTGCACTTGCAGGCTTGTAAATTTTCACCATGGGAAATTACCAACAAAGCCCAATCTGTCTCCTGGCTGCTTTGCACTTTCCGAGGGCGGCTGTACTTGAGCGAGCTGCAGAACGAGAGAGAAAGCGAGAGGGAGAGAGAGAGAGAAAGGGGGAGTTGGGAGGGGGGAGAGGAAGGGTGGGTGGGTGGGTGGAGGGGGAGAGAGGTAAATAGCCTTAAATCGGAAGGGAGCTGCTTCTCTGTGGTCTTCCACAAGAGCTGCCTGGGCTCTGCTGGCTCAGTAATAACTGAGTGACCTTTTCTTTTGCTGTATTATGTCTGGCTGGTAAGGGATTGCATTTTGCAGCTGATAAAGCCCTGACTTCATTCAACTCGGCTCCTCACACGCTGCTTTAGGTAAGTTGTCTTCAGCCAGGACGGAGACAGACAGCCTTGGACTGCAAGATACTAAAAGGAGGACACCTGTAGCTCGGATGCGGTCAACACAATTACTTGGCGGATCCTTGAGGACCTCATTATTTTAAACTTAAAGAATAGCGATCTCCCTCCCCATCTCTCCCACCCCCTCTTTATTTTTTTTCCCCAAACAATGCTTCTTTTTGACCTTTTCCAAGGAGAAGAGCTACAAAGCAGCCACTGTGCTTATTGAACTGCCTCCCCTGTATCGCTTAATTGAGAAGGTAAGTGAGGCAACTGTGTACATAAGCTTTGGGTCATTTGTGTATGTGTGCCTGCATCACTCTCTCTCTCTCCTTCTCTCTCTCTCTCTCTCTCTCTGAGTCATAAGCCGGGGCTGCAATACACACACACATCTCTGCACTGCAACTTTCACTCGAGCTGCAGCTCTGCTGAGACTGTTTTGTTTAAATCATGTGAGGCTTCATTATTTTTATGATGAGACATGAAATACATGCAAGCAGCGGATGCTGAGCGAAACCCCTCCGACTGCACGTCTCGAGAAATAGCAGTCAAAGTTAACAATGAATTGCAGCCCCACCACTACCCCCCTCCCCGTTATTATTGTTATTATTATTCTTGCTTCTTCCAGAGCTTCTCGAAACACGCTCTCAATTACCAAGGGAGTCGGTTAATTTCCCACTCCCCGGCTTTAATCCACAAGCCTCCCCGTACAGCAGTTTAATTTGCAGCTGGTTCGGTGCAGGGTTAACCCTTTGGGCAGAGCGGAGGCAGGAGCGGGGCGGGGAGCCCGGGGGGCGGCAGGGACGCGCTCGGGCTGCGGGGTCCGGGCTCCCGCGTCCTCCCTCTCCCGGAGCGGCCGGAGGGAAGGGCAGCAGCGCTACTTCTGTCTGCCAGCATTTCTCTTTTCTCCTCTCCTTTTTTTTTAATTTTTTTTTGGGGTTTTTTTTTTTTCCTCTTCTCCCCCCGCTTCTCCCTTCCCAGCGAGCGCGATACGGTATGCCTAACGCCGCATGTGACAGTTTAATCAAACCCATTTGTTACAACAAAGCTAAGAGACCGCTGGGATTATAGGCTTACGGCAGAGTTAGGGCAGCATGTGGCTTTGTCGCTCGCCACCGCCGCTCGGGGTGTGCCGTCCCCCCATCCATCCTCATCCACATCCTCATCCTCATCCCCGGCCCCGCCGCCCCCCGCCCCCGCTGCGGCGCGCCGCGCTCCCGCTCACTTGACCCGAGCCGAGGAAGCACTTGCTACTTTTGCCGGGATTTGGTGCTTCAATGAGAAGGAGCTCTCCAGGCGCCCGTAAATCAACTCATGCAGAAAAAGGAGAAAAGTTTTGGTAAGGCGGCGGTGGCCGGCGCTGTGCGCTCCGGGGGGAGGCGGGGGGTTCCTCCTTCCTCTTCTTCCATCCTCACCGCGCTGCCAGCGTGTGCTCCGAGCAGACCCCAAACACCGCTTCCGAATAGGACAGCTCTGTAGGACCGCTCTTTAAAGCGATTCCTTTCGCTCGGTGCAACAAACATCGCGACGCGCCGTCCCCGACACCTCCCTCTCCCCATCCTTTGGATGCTCGGAAAGGAATTGGCATAAAAGGCTTGAGCGTCTAACTCCGAAAAGGGATTCTTTGTTGTGGAGTATATGTTTCTTATTTATTTTATTTTTTTCATTTTGCATGTGAGCTGCATCAAAATTGAACTCAGTCTTGCAAATCTCTTGTTGGCCTTTGCCAAGCACTAGCACTTTGCTGCCATGGTAACTGTAATTAAACTGATAAGAGTGGAAAAATGTCAGTATCTCTGAGCCTTGCAGCTGCATTGGAGAAAAAGGGAATCAAATTGGTTCCCAGCACCACTGCTCTAAAAAAGGAGGGGGGGAAGAGTGGAGGGGGGGGAACTAGGGGAGAGAGATGGGGGGACATGCCAGGGGTAGGAACATAGCTCAGCAGCTCCAGTCCCTGAGATCTGGGTACATCTATTTGCTGTGCTGTCCCTTAGGGGGCTACAGCCTGCAGGGATGCTCTGGGCCAGTGAACAGAGAGAAACAAGCTTTTAGGCCCAATCTAGCTTTCAAAAAGAGAAGGGGAAAGAAGAAGAGAAATCTTTTGTTTGGTGTCTCTTGGCAATCGACTAGCCATGTTGGCCAAATTCTTTTAATCTGTATCACTGCTCCCAGCTGTGGGACTGCATTCCCATTTTTATTTTTTGCCTAGCCTCTTCTCTTTTCCTTTTTCTTTTTTTTTTTCATCCCCTCCTTCCCAACCCATATCCTTTATTTAGAAAGAAAAAAAAAATCAAAAATAATAAAGAAAAAAACCCAGATTCCTCTGTAGAAGAAGGGGCAGGAGGTGAAGTCTAGTTATATAGCATTGAAAATTAACTCAAAAGTATACAGGAGAGGCTATATTCAGAGTGCTGAAATCCTTACTTTTATTTTTAAAAAAACCCCGAGTGTTATGGAGTTGCGGTTACTTTGTTGTGTTAACTACAGAAGCTGAGCCTGTGCGGATGAATGGCACAGAACAAGAGAGCATAATGGAGGCAATCAACCGTTAGGCTGCTTCACAATGCAATCCAGGCAATTAAAAGCTCACCAGAGTTTAAATGAAATGGTTCCACTTATTTCTGTGCACCACACTGCACAGGCTATTATTTATGTCTCTTTTTTTAATTATGATTTCCCTTAAACTGTCAAATAACTCAGAATAGCAGGGTCTCGGAGGCAATAAGAATTTTCCACAGAACAATTTACATGCCAATCTAAAACTAGTTACGACTCCTGATGTGCTACATATGAGTTCTGAAATGTTTCTTAGCTTCTGAAACCTCAACTTTTTTCTTTTTTTTCCCTGAGTCTGTGTGTGTTGCCCTGAATTACTGGAGCTCTGAATGCTTTTAGGATGAAGCTACAAAGTGGGAAAGCAGCAGAAAAGTATTCTTTTTATCTTTTCCTGAACCCCTAACTCTCCTGTTGACTGCCTGTTGTCTGTCAGTTTGCTTTTAAAGACTGATGCACACAATGCTTAATTTGCTCCAAACTGATTTTTCAATTTTTTTTTTTTCCCTAAGTAGGGGCAAGTTTCCCTTTTGTGCTGTTTGTGCTACTGTCTTTGGTGGAACTGTATGCATGCTTCTGAAAAAGGGGGGAAGAGTGGTCTTTAAAAGTTTGTAAGAGATCCAGTGCATAACAGAACTCTTTCTCCCAAGGACTGCCTGTACCACAAACAAGAACTGAGTTCTGAGTGTCTGATGCCATGCTCAGCACCATCAGGGACTAATCTCGCTTACAGATGCTTCTAAATCACTAACACAATATAGTTCATTACATCAAATCCTCATTCCCCTTGATTTTTGAGAAGGGTGATGATTTGAGTGAGATGGATTTTTGCTTCTCTGCCTTCCCCGGGAGCCTAATTTAGCTTTTTCCAGCAACCATTCCTCTTTATCCTGGAATCATAGTCACAAATCAGTTGACAGTGTTTCATCACACCATAATAACAATAAACAGGGAGGGGGAGTCAGTTGCATTGAACTTATTTAGGGAGATCGAGAGAAATCTGAAACCCTGCAAGTCTGGTTTTTAAGTTCTCCCTTCAAAAATCCTAAAGAGGGTGACTGGTGATGAAGAAGTCTTATTCCTGCCTCAGCTCTGCAGTTTATGTGCAGTATCCTGGGGACTGGGGGTGGAGGAAGGGAGGGAGCAGAGGGAAGGATAGAGGAAGCCCTTGAAAGCATATTGGGGTGAAATAAAAAGGGTTTGTTTGACAGTGACAGACTAGGCACTGAAATTCCTCAGTTCTGAGAACAGATCTGCTCTGTGATGCAGAGCATGGGTAGAACTCTGCAGAACTGAAGGGAAAGCTGGGTTTGATTTTTTTTCTTTTTTTTTTTTTTTTTTTTCCACAGCCTGGGTTGTAGCACTTAGGGAATTGTATGATGTTTTGAAAGTGCTCCATAAGCTCTGCTTTCCTGGGGGAGGGGGAGAGGAAGGCAGCCAGGCAGCAGCGCGGTGCACTGCCACCTGATATTTCAGCAGTGAGCGGTTTGGATGGGTTTGCGGGTGCTGTCAGCCTCTGAAAAGGCCCTTCCCATGTCCTAGGGAATAAATGAGTACTTAAACTGCAGCCTGTGAAAAGCTGGCTGACAGTGAGCTGCAAGGTATTCTTATTGCCAAATTAAGGGAGAGCTAAAAATACACAAGCATGTATCTGAGAAGTGCAACTGCATCAGAGACCTTATGGGAATGTTAAAGGGGGGAGAGAGATGGTCTGTGGGGTGATCTGCATTAGGGTGGTTCATATAAATACAGGGGAAAAAGGCAATAGAATGTTCTGTTGTCAAAACTAAGGGATTTAAACAGGGCGTGTGAAGAAAAGGACGTTTTCAAATTCAGAGATATGTCAAACACTTCTTGACTTTGTTTAGAACCTTTCTACACTACCAAAAAAAGCATAACTCCTTTTTTTTTTTTCTTACGATGAAGCAGTAGTTTGGGGAAATTGAAATAATAAAATAGAAGCAGCTTCATTGCATGTAAAGTGAGATCAGGTCTATCAGAGGAGAAAAGCATTCCTTCCCTCCAAAAGCTGCTGCAGATAGAATCCCTAATCTGAAGATGCTGCCAGTGGGGTGTCAGCACCACCTTCTCTCCCTGCCTCAGGAAAACAGACATGCAGGGTTGCAAATTCTCCTTCCATGGGGTGTTTGCCCCTTTGCAGTTGTCCCTACAAGAAGGTTTTGGACTAACCAGTGTGAATGACAGGGCTCTGCCTACTTTCCTCATGTAGTGAGCATCTCAAAAGCTGTGCAGGCTATGTGCAAGCTGCAGTTTTATTTGTAATACAATAACCTCATGTTTGCAGCATATACCTCGGGAATTATCAGGCTTGATTACTGCAATCTGCTCAGACACTCACTTGTTTGGCTGTGTTTCTGTGGCATCTTGTTCCCTTCAGACAGCTCAGGACAGTAGATCAGCCTGGATCAGGGACTGTCAGCCTCCACTCTCTAACCCGCTTCCTTATCAGGCGATGAAATTTTTACATTAAGATTTTTTTCGTTAAAGCCTTTAACTGTGTTAGCTCCTAGTTTATTCTGGTTTCCCTCGAGCTAAAGATTAAAGTCCTAGAACAGCCCTTCATGCTTCTAAACTTTTTTTTTTTTAAACTGAGTTACAAGAAGTTTATACAAATTGTGGCTGATTTTATGCGTTTGTCCTCTACATGGCCAAAGAGACAGTCTGGGGATAAGCCTGTTGTTGGCACCTGGTGGATATTTACACTCTACTGTGATAAGCAACGTTACAGATTAAGGCTTTTTGACCAAGCAATGTTATTTGAGTTTCAGCAGGAGTTCCCTTTACAGTCTGGTATAGGTTCCTTACCAAAAATCTCTGATATTTTCACTGCTTTGAGTCATTTATTTGTAGCCATGTTTCGTTGCTGTTTCATGGATGTACCCTGGATTCAGGGGAGTCAGCTGTCAGTTGAAGATGCTGTAAAGGCTCAGCCTTTGTCTCATGGTGCCTTCTCAAGAGGAAATGTGTGTGTTCATTCTCAGATCTGCCACAGACTGTGGAGCCCAGCGCAGGTCACTGGATCTCATCCTCCCCCTTGGGAATGAGAGACAGATCTTGGGAGTCTCTACGTGGTGAGGAGCTATGAGCATCAACTGGGAGTGATGGGAGGGACAGCACTGACAATTTTTATACTGGTTGATAGAAAAATACAGACCTTACACTGCTGTCAGGAGATTTAGATGTTGTGCAGCAGCACTGCTGGGGTGCTTTGGGGTGTCTGCTAGCAGAGCTGCCTGCACACCCCTGAACAGCTCCTCCACCAGATAAATGCATCGCTCCAAGGTGTGTGATAGGCTGCATTGCAAAGAGAGGAGCGAGGCTGCTGTTGCAATAAGAATTACTATTTCTAATTCAGCAATCAGCTTTGCAGGTGAGACTCAGGAGTTAGCTTGGGAAAGTCACTTAACTGGCCATGCGGTCCCTGCACTCCGTGTAAATTCCATGTGTTCTACACACACCTCTGTAGAGCTCCCTGGGATGCCTTAGCCTGTTGTTTTTGCAGCCCTAACATCCATAAAGGCACACTCTGACATTGCTTCAAAGGTTACACTGGTTTTCCTCTTTTTCTTACGAGGGAAGACAAAAAAGCAAATACAAACCCAACCAAACAACCCCAAACTCGTCTGTGTTCAGCTCTGAGCCTGCCTGTCTGTGGTGGTGTGTTAAAGCACCAGCCAAGGTCTGCTGATAGAAGCTGACACTGCCAAGCTTTCTTAACTCCAGGTAGTAGAGCCTTTATGGTGAGAGGCTCTTGAATTTGCTCCTCTTTGCTATGAGATTCTATTCAACCTTTCCCAATCTCTGGATGATAATAATAGGGTTCCAAACCTCGAGTGTTGGAGTAGGATTTGCTTGTTGGCAACAGCATTCCTTCCCCAGTCTTGACAAATTCTCATTGCAATATTCAGACACATTCTAGTGAGTAGCATCTTTTTTTGAAGTTGCATCACTGGCTTTAAAACAGTGAGGTGACCCCTACTGAACAGCGTGTCGGTTCTTCCGTTCTCTCCTGTCCCTGTTTGATGTCCACCAAAATATCCACAGGGCTGTTATTTTGCTTATCCTAAGAGGTAACTGTGAGAGAATTAGTCAGAGTGCACTGGGGTGGCAGCTCATGCAGCTAAGCAGAGAGACCAGTCTGTGAGCACTTTGGGGCAGTGACCTCTCCCCATATACTGTAAAGCTGAGGGCAATTGATTTTTGAATGGATCCCTGGAAGCTGGCTGTGTTGCTCTGAGTAACATCACTCAGCTGTGTTCCCCTTTTCGCTGGTTCTGTCCATTAAACAGTGTTTCAGGAGTTTGAATGTTTTTTTAAATGCTCTCAGCTATTACATCAAAAGGTGTATATGTACTTAATGGACACTACTGTACTCCTTGTCCCGAAGTAGCTGTTGGCTAAAACTGGGATTGGAAAGCGGGGCAGCCTTTTTATTTTGTTTTTCTTGACAAACTAGAACCTCTCTGACCTTGTGCAGATTATTTTAAGCCAGATTTTTCAGGAGGTCCTTCCACTGCAGGTTGTGACTGGCGTTGCTGCTACTGCAGTCTTTGGAAATCTTGTCGCTTCATTATTGTGTCTAAAAAGAACTAAAATATTAAAAAACAGCACCAAAGTTTCTATGTCAAATCTCTCAGAAACTCTCGCGCCATGTCTCTAGAAGCTCCAATCTTTTCTTCTTTAAAAATGGAAGTTCTTTTGTATTTTATAAAGATAGTGCAAATAAGTCCAAATATGTGGATTTAAGTATGTTTGAGATATAGATATCCTGTTTATTTAAATTTTAGGTTGACAAGTATTGGAGATATGCTGTTTATTTAAATTTTGCATTGTTAAATATTGGATACTGTGGCTGAAATCGGGCGACTTTTCAACTGGAGTGTTTTAACATTTCATGTTATTTTTTTTTAATCTTATTTCTTTTCAGCAAAGAGACCAGGTAAATGAGGTGTTAAAGAGAAGCTGTGGAACTTAAAGCAGTGGAAGTTTCTGCTCTCAAATTTATCTTAGCCTTGTTTTCAGCTCGCTGTGGTCTGACTAGGTTATTTTATCCTACCTACACCATTGACTTTTAAATGAACTGGATGTGGGGTGGCGGCGGGGGGGAGAAGAGAGGTGGAGGAAGAAAAGGGCAAGAGTTTTTTTGTACTTGAGAGAATATCTATTTTCAGTCTTCTCTTGTCTTACTGTATTTCAGGTATACAAATGCTCTCAGTCCAGCCAGACACCAAGCCGAAAGGTTGTGCTGGCTGCAACCGTAAGATTAAAGACCGATATCTTCTAAAGGCCCTGGACAAATATTGGCATGAGGACTGCCTGAAATGTGCCTGCTGTGACTGTCGCCTGGGGGAGGTGGGCTCTACCTTGTACACCAAAGCCAACCTTATCCTTTGTCGCAGAGACTATCTGAGGTAGGTCACGGCCTTCTTCCATTCGCTGGCAAGCTCGGGAAACCTGCTCAGCCCTTCCTGCAGAGCTGCTCTCACACTGGCAGGGCTGCAAGGCTGACTATTGGAGGAAACAAATACTGAAAGATGGAGATTGAATTAAAATCTGAGTCAAAAAGCGCACACAAGCAGGTTGTGGAGGTGGCTGCCAGATTTATGATGCTGATGCTGGTGTAGAGAAGAGTAATTCCCCTCTGCTCCCCACAGCACCGTGCTTCTGGGGAGGTGAGGGTCTCCCGCTCCCCCTCCTCCTCCTGGCAGCATGGTGGTGGCCAGATGTCACAGCCTGAAACCAGTCCTGTGGTTTTCACCCAGCTTCAGGGCAGGGCTGGAACCCTGCAGGTGAGGAACATTTCGCCCATCTTTGCTTTTGTCCTTTTAGTTTGCTAAAGGATTTTGTTTGTGGCACTCAAGTTTTAGGAAGGCTGGCACTCAGCTGTGTGAAGCTGGACCAGGATAGTCAACTGAATTCCCCATTTTTAATAGCCATAAGCTCCAAGCCACTCTGCTCCTGGTTTCACTTGGCAGCCCAGGTGGGATGCTGGCTAACCTGTGGCCACCTGTTAGGGGTAGCAAATCAGCACCTGCTTTTCTCTCTTCTTGTTTGCTTGTGGACCTACATTCTCAAAAGTATTTGAGGAATAACTTGTAGCAAAGTATGGATGAGCAGCACCAGGGTAGTTTATCTACACGTTGTGTGTCAATAGGGCTGCTTTGCAGGAATGGAGTTTTACTGGGAAGTTTAGTGTCCCTGGGCTCTCAATAGTAAAATAGAGAGAAAAGGCTCCTCCAAGCACCTATTCCCCACAGTAACACCTTTCCTCCATTCCCTGTGGAGGGGGTCTCATGAGACTAGCTGCTCCAGGCTAAGGTGAACTTCTGTGAATATTTCCCTTGCCCCTTCTGTGAAGCCTTTTCCTTTTAAAGGGACATCGAAGTCACTAATCCATTGGGGGAAAATTAAAATTCTTTTTGAATGCGTTAACTTCCGAGTTCCGCTTAAGTACAGGCTCCAAATAGGAGGGGTTCCCATGCACTGATCAGTTCCCAAATTATACACCATGAGTAGGTAGGAACAGGGATCAGGACTAAAGCACTGACAACTATCAGTACTCTGGCTCTCCATGTAACCACCTCTAGAAAAAATGGGTGGAACAAAAACCTTCCAAAATCCACTGTGCATTTGTTGAGCTGGGGCTGAAAGGCAGATCAGGTTCTTCAGATGGGCTTAGACTTAATGGTAAAAGTATTCTGCTACCTATTCAAGCTCTGAACTGAACCCAAGATAGAGGGCTGGGAATTCAGCATAGAGACTGCATCTTAAACCTGATGTGTTAAAGCTGCCAAAGTGGTAGGTAACAAAACCTCACTTTTAAAAGCTGGTGGAACAGAAGGGAATTGTTGTACATGAGCTTAGGTTGCTTGTGGTCTTTAGGTGAGTGTGTGTAGAGAGGGTTTGAAAAAGGTTTTGGTGCGGGAAAGTAACATCCCAATTTTTTAAACCCCATTTTAATGATCTTTGTTATACAACAAATGCCTGCAGAAGCGAAAGAACTGCTATGGCTGTTTCATCTGAGTTCCAAATTTACTGGAGACTTTGAGCTTACTGAATCTCCCAAGTGCTAGTGCAGCAGATCTAATGTTTTGAAATCAAATGTTTAAAATCAAAACCAGAAATGATGTGGTAGCAAAGATATGAGCAAAGCATTTCCCCAGCACAGGTGTATTCACACACGCTCTTGCTCTCTGGTCTTTGAGGGTTTAACAGGAGTAAATATTTTGCTAACAGATTGTTAAAACTCATACTAAGTGATTCAGAGAAAGGAGATTTTTTTGTTGTTGTTGTTTGTCATTATCACATTCAAACTGGTGTTTCATTTATTTCTTCATACATAACACCTTTTACTTTTGCACGTGAAACCAGCATACAGGAGAAATCCTATAACTGGTTTTAAGATGTTTCTGTTTTTTGTCTCTGGATTTATTGAGTCTTAATGGAGCTATTTCGTTGTGATTTTTTTTTTCTTTTTGGTAATACTTGTGAGTGCATAGATTTAAACTTGGTATTTACACTAAACTTCAAACTGATGCACTTAAGGTAATTGCAGATAGTCATTTGCCTCATTGCATCTTATCTACTTAGTTATGCAGTGAACCTATAAAAGTGATATTTTTAGTGCTAATGTACAGACTAGTTAAATTTTCTCTAGCTTTGTAGTCAAATAAGCTTTCATATTTAGCAACCCACTTGATATGAATTTAAGGAACAAATTGCATTGTACTAATGATCACATTAGAGTTTGATTATGGTTTCAAACTATCTTCTTAGGTTTTTTCCTTTTTAACCATAAAGGGAGCCTTCGCTGCGTATAAAACTGTTCTGGCTTCCTATTAATTTATGTGGTGCCCTCTAGAGGATATGTGGCTTGAACGATACTATAAAGAGTAAAATTGCTTATTAACTTGTCTCTCAGTATTCATTATGCTTTTCAATAAGACAGACATTCTACAGATGCTACAAGCAATCATGCAGCCAGTTTGGGTGCTTTAGAATTCATGTTTAAGTTCGTAAATGGTGTGATTGTGTCTTTGCCTGTTTGCAAAAATACTTCCAGTATCTTTCATTTAGAGATGCCTGCCAAAAAAGCTGCACCCTCCCTCAGCCCTGATGCACGCTCTCATGCTGCAGCTGAGCCCTGAGGTCCCCACTTTGAGCTCCTTATAAATAGTCTGCATCTTCAGAACTCCAAAACTTGCTTTGCTTTAGCTGTCTCCTTTGGTAAAATTAGTTAATTATACTACATTAAACCCTTTTCCTCCGGATCAGGAGGGATTGAGGGAATGGAAGGAATCTTTAATGAAGTAAGGAGCTTGAAAGATGCTGTGGGTGTGAGAGGCTCTGCCCTGGAATGTGATTGCTGTTCGGCACTCCAGCAGTTCCTGAGGTGCCGGGGTGACCACGGCAGGAGCAAGCTCTGCTCTGTTAACGAGGATGGGAACTGACTTGAGCAAAGAAAGGGCTCAGCGTTAGCAATAACACACTCCCCGAAAATGATATGCAGAGGATAATTCCCCTGCAGGCTTCTGTCTTCTGCTTATACACTCCTGGGTTAGGAAGTGAAGACTTAATTTGAGGAACTTAGGTTTACGCCAATATTTCAAGTCCATTTATAAGAAGTGAAATATGCAAGAACTTTTTTTTTCTCCCCTTCTTTTCCTCCAGAGCTGTATGGTGACATCTTAATGCATCAGCCTATCCTGCTCTGTCCTCTCTTCTGACTGGCAGCGTGTCCATTTGCAAGCACAATATTCCCTTTGAAATCTGTCATTACTGCCATTAATGACCAGTCATTATGTTAACAGCCCTTGGGCTGTTAACATGTCAAACTGGTTGTTAACTGGAATGTTATTACTTATTTAAACCTCAGGTATGAGTTGTGTGAAATGTGCTTTGGTTGCACGTTCTGGGCTGCTTCTGCTCAAAACAATAGGGAAACAGCAGAGCGTTGGCCTTTGGGGTGCCAAGGGATTTGCTTTCTGTTCCATCTGCTCATTTGATTTCTATAAATTTGTGAGGTTCTCCTACCCCTGGGCAGCCTCCTAATTTCAGTGTGCAATCCCTTCTCTTAGCCTTGCCTGCAAATGGGCAGCCGTGGATGTTTCCAGATGCACGGAAACGCCCGCTGCACGTTTGAGATTAATACCTGGCCCCTAGAAGTGTGAAATAAAAGACCAACAATCACATGCAACTCAGTTGTATTAAATAATGAGCTTCCTCGGATGCAGCAGAAATATGAAAGTACAGCTGTGCTAAGCTAGTTGCAATGTAGGTCAATCACCCTTTTCACTTAGGTTTTTAACTACGCAAACCCCGCTGAGCGACCAATGACTACAAAGTGCTGTTTCATTCCTATTTAATTTTGGCAGCATTTTACTGAAGAGCAGGCATTCATGCAGCTAAATTATCTTTGCCGTTTCTGGTTTTAACTCCAGCTCCATGACACTAAATGTTGGAGTGCATATCTCTTAGTAAACACAAAGGATGTGGTTTCTGATATATATATTTATTTTTTTCCCAAATCCACCTCTTAACATGGAAATTGAATTAGAACTTTTATTACTTCTTGCATAATTTCCCTAGCCAGGCAAGCAAGATCATAAGAAAAGAATTAACAAAACTAATATGTTGGGGTGGAATTTTTTGCCCTTAAACACATCTAGAACCTTATTGAGAACGCGGAGGAGGATGACAGAAAGTCTATCTTCTCCCCCCACCCTTCCCCTTCCACCTCAGTATTGATACTATTTGTAAATATACAGCACACTTTAAAACCACCACTGAAGAGCTGTGAAAATGAGTAAATCACCATTCCTGAGGAAAGGGACAGAACACGTTGGGTTTTTCCCTCTTCCCCGCTTGCAGGTTGAAAGACCTGAGAAAAGCCAAGTCTTTAAAACTGGATATTGGAGAAGATCTTATAAATAATGACCACAGAAAGTAATGTTCAACCAGAACGATTATAAAGATGCTGCCTCTGTAAAATATTTAGCTTCAGAGCAGTTTGAAAAGGGCAGAATTTAGGAAGCAGCTTTTTCCTGTACAACTGCTCACACTCTAAAGGCAATTATTATTTTAAAAAATTATTGTGTAGGAGTGTTTAGAGAGACTTAAAATGTCTTGTGGCCTGATGCTGATTAGCAGATCCCATTCCTCTCTCAAGTCACGGGCAGTATTGCAAACACCCAAGATATCAGCTTGCTTAAATGCGTGTATAAATACTCTGTGTGGATATTTTCATGGGTAGTGCATTATAATTTTTTTCAAAATGTCTCCTCAACATGTTTCTTGCCCAGCTTGATTAAATAAGGGTAGACCTTTAAAGATTTAAGCACTCTGGGTCTTCAGGAGTATTGAGGTGTTTATGGAAGTGAGGCTTTAGAGGTCCACTTTCTTCACTAAAGCT